GCCGTTTTGACAAACCTTCCGTAATGACGCATCAAAGAAGCAGGAAGGCTAGTGTCGTACACCCTGAGTGATTTAGAACTTGTCGTGTGCTCGTCAGACAAGTAACGCATCAACGCATCCATAGTCTAATACAAAGTAGAAATATCGTTAGTATGACAAATAAAGTATAATGTTAGTAAAGTAGTGCAAAAAGTAATTACCTGGGGCGAAATATGAGAAGATCGCCAAGCTATATCAAGAAACTCTTTGGCGGTAAGTGCAGTAGGGCCATCGATATGGACAAATCTTTTTGAAATATTTAACGATTAAGTTAGTTAGTGACAGTCAAGGAATTATGTAACGGTAAAATTAAAAAGGTGACTGTAAACTTACCCAAGACGCAATACATGTTTTTGAAGGTCTTCAAACAATTTGCCGATGTTGGGTACGATGCGGAAACACGCATTGACTTTGGGGTCTAACTGGAAGTCCTGGTAAGTTGTTGATGCTACCCTTGAACGCTTGCTTCTTCGAGTATCGGGGTTGTCTTCCTTTTGTAGATCGGAGGGCAGAACATATACCAACGGTTGTGGATCAAGTTGGAAGAGCTGTTTCTTCTTGGGTTAGGCCTATCGAGAAAGAAGGTGCTTCTATCCCAGACTGTATGTATGGAGGGATAAACAAATTATTATAGGGTTAAAATTAGGTTATTTTTAATATTTGAAGGAAAATACCGGGTTTGGTGCAGTCAAGGTGTTGCCGCTTGAGGTTTCCAGAAGACGCTGAGAAGGTGAGACATTGTCGTCTTCCTACTAACAGATTGTTTTAACCGTTACAACAATCTTTAGCTGTTAATACTTTTATTTACTGTTAATATGATTAATAGTCGAAGCTACCTCGTGAGATAGTATCTCTGTCCTCTCATTGTCTGGAGGGAGTTGTGTTGCTGAGCCCGGTAAAACGGCATGTTCGTGTTCAGTAGACTGATTGCAAGAAGAAGAAATGAAATGTTACTGTAATTAAGGGAAAAAAATTAGTAGTTGGACAGAAATCTTACCTCCTCATTGTTGGAGGATGCCTAAATGTCATCTAGGACCCGCCTAACTGGGTCGTCCTCCTTAGGCTCCGAAGGTTTGGAAAAGGTTTCGTTATCATCTCCAGCATGAGATGCATCTTCATTGTCTTTGTCCTTATACGGGGTGCGATTTGGAAAATCGGTTTGGGGAATGTCGTGTTCACTTGGAATTGTTGAGGTAGACTTTCCCAAAAACTCAATAATGGCCCTGATGACTCCCTTCTCCAATGATTGCATGTATTTGATAACAGCCGTGTTTAGTCTACCCTCAACTCCAACAAGACTAGCGGCAACCTTCTTCTCAACAGCGTCTGCTATTTTATGCTCAATACCAACAATGTTGCCACGTAATTTCTCTGAAATTAGACTAGCTAGAGGTTCAATAATGGCTTCACCAATAACCGCTGACTGAGATGACCCACCGACATTTGCTTTGTCATGTCTATCCTTGACCTCCTTTTCCCTTTGCTTGGAGACATTTGGTCTTGATAGGTCACTAGAGGAAATACCACCACGGAATATCTCATTGTTGAACAAGAACCCATCGTTAATGAGCTTAACAAGAGTGTCAACGGCAGGGTCGTCGCTTTCATCAACCCAACTAAAGTCCTGCTCAGAAAGCCAATCATCATCTGGGGCATCAAGAATGGATTGAACTTCGACCTGGATAACGCGTTAACACAGCGGATGGTGGTTAACTTTAATATTAGCCGTTAAACAAGTCATTAGCTGCTAAAACTTAAGAAAAGGCAATATTTATGTCAACTATCAATTACATACAAGTAGAGATAAATAAGACTGATTCACTTAAGAATAACTTTGTAATGTAATTCAGATGATAGGTACTGTGAAACAAAAATAAGCATGGGATTAAGCTACATTAATATACTCTAATAGATGTTAAACAAATAGTTAACGACTATTAAGGCCAGTGACTATTAAACGTTGTGTTAACAGGTAAATAAGAGAAGGTAGGAAGTCGAACCTGACACTCCGCGTTGAGGTCCCTGGCGTTTTTGGGATTAACAATCCATCTTGGCGTGGAGTTAACCTTGTTCAAATTTCCCGAAGCATCGCCAGCGACTAGATCCTCATCCGCCGGGTTCTCACTCTCACTATCAGACTCAACTACAACTACAGGGGCATTGGTGATAACTTCTTCTTTCAAAGCAGGGACAGCAGCAATCATGACTAGTTGAATAGCTTCCACATAACCTTTTACGCGAAAGAGTCTTGAGCGAGGGCAACTGCATCCTTCTTAAGTATTATTGATGTTACAAGTGCAAAAGATGAACGCCCCCATGGATAAGAAATAAAATCATCAATATCCCTAATTAACTCGACATGCTCCAGAACAATTTTCGGAGTGTGAGAAGATGGAAGTAAAACTGAAGCCATAATTGCTAGACATACAAATTTGATTAGTGTGTCCCTATCCTTCACCTTGTGGGTCTTGAGAATCTCGATAACAGTATCAAGAGAACACGATTTAAGAGAGCCAAACAATTCGTTCCAATACAGTTTCTCTTTGAGATGATTCTTTCTTTTTTCCGAGTCTGAGTAGGAATCCGGTTGCAATTAAGCCCAGTAACAATAGCAAACTCCCTAAGGGAAATTCTGATTGGTCTTCTGGCGAAAATCAACCATATCTCGTATTTCTTCTTCGTCTTCAGCATCCTCACAAGAATGAAATGACCAAAAGCGTCAGAAAAAGGCGGATTCTCATCTAAAGCTAGAAATTTGGAGAACTGGGAATTCTTGAAAAACTCCATCTCTTCCTCGTCTAGGGATTCAATAAGCAACTCGGTTCTCCGAGTCCTGTGATACGAGTTGACTCGTTCGCCAATAGGTTCATCACCATAGGAAAAAATACGGAGAGGAAGTAGCAGATCTTCCATCGAACAATCGCAAAAGAAAAAAGGGAATAACGGTTCCTCAAGATTGAGATTTTCAGTTTCTTTTGTACAATGGAAATGGGAAACAAAAAAAAATCAGTTTTGTGTTAGAACTAAAAGAATTGGAAAATAAAAATTCAAATTTATTTTAAATTTTGAAAGTGGACGGTTGAAACATAAATATTGTTCGTGGTTAAAGAGGAAGTTGACTGCTAAACTCGCAGGCGTGGGGCTACAGGCGCAGGGTTAGGGAGTAGGGCCGAGAAACAAGGAATGTCAGTTTGGTCATTTATTTTATTTATGTCAAATTGTGTGTATTCGGCTAATTACAGGTGCTGATATGGTGTTTCAACAAATATTCTCATTAAATGATGGTTGAAGTCAAAGTTTTATGTTATTTTAATCAAATTTCTCTCTGAAAGTAGGAGAAATAAGAGAGAGAAAATATCGCCAGTCTTGATTCAATGTTGAGTGAGTAAATACGTGAGAGACAACAAAAGCCTAAAACGTTCACAGTTGGACTTGTGTCTGAAGGTCTTTCTAGAGGAATTGAAACGAGGGAGGAAAAGCAAAGATATATACTTTTGTGCAAATTTGAAATTGGTTTTGTTTTATGTGTGTAGTCATTGTACATATTTTTGTTCAAAGAAGTCGGTGTATATTATTGTAAATTTTGTTAAAGAGCGCACGTTGTTTACTTTATTCCTATTAGACACCGTCCTTCTAGAAACACCCTCTCGTCAAATATTCTTAGGTTGATCTTTTAGATAAATGTGTATATTCAATTCACCGATCATTAATATTTTATTATTTTATATTTGATATCTTTAAAAAAATAAAATATTAACAAATTCTATTATATTTTTGAAATAAAAAATGATAAAAATAAATAAAAAAGTTGTAGCAGTGGCCAAAAAATTAACTATTTTTAATATCGTCATTAAAAAACTAAATCCTATCTTAAACCCTAAATTCTAAACTTTTGGGTAAACCTTAAACTCTTAAATCCTAAACCTGAAATAAAAAAAATATTAAATGCCAAATATTAAAAACACAAAATCCTTAATACTAACCACTAAACATTTGAAAAACTAAATAAAAATAATAATAGTTGCTAAAAAAGATTTTTTTAGAATATTTTCCTAAACTTTAAATACTAAACACTAAATCTAAATACACTAAACTTATAAGATAAATCAGAATTTATCCAAGGGTTTAGAGATTAGGATTAATGGTTTAGTTTTTATAAGATTTAATGTTTTTAGTTTATTTATTTAAAGTTTAGGATTTATCCAAGGGTTTAAGGGTTATGATTTAGCGTATAGTATTTTTTCATTGTATTAAAAATATTAAAACTTTTTTTTTTTGACAACTACTAGTATTTTTTTATTTTTTCATTTTTAAAACATATATAAGTTGACAATATTATTTTTCTTTTATAAAAATTTGGGAAAATCTCTAAAAATTTTTCTAAGTTTATGTCACAAAAATAGTCCTCAAAAATAAAATGACCAAAATTGCATTTTATCTTTTGAAAATTTTTAAATTTTTTTATTTTTCAAAAATTAAATTCTTATCCACAAAATCCCACTCTCCAACTCTAAACCCTAAACCCTAAAACCTGAATTCTAAACCCTAAACTCTAACCCTAAACCCTAAATCTCACCTTTTAACTCTAAACTCTAATGTTTAAATTAATTTATCATTGGGATATAGATGTATATTTATCTTTTTTAATAAAATATTAAGTGCTATTTTGGTCATTTTTATTCTTAATTGTTATATTTGCGAACAAAATTTTTTTTAATGCTATTTTAGTCATTTTCTCTAAAAATTATTAAATACAAAATAATACAATACTATTGATCCGTGAACCTAAAGGTTTTAGCCTAAGAATAACTAAAAAGAAAAGAATACACTCCCGAGTCATTCATTTTGCATACGAATAACCACGACTACAAAAGTGCTCATAAAACATAATTAAAAGAGTATAAAACATCGTGATTAGTCGTCAATAATAATGGCCACATTCTGGTCTCATCTAGTATTATATTAATCTGATACGCACCTTAAGACACAGAGAAAAAAATAATATGAACACAACCAAGGACGTGTTTGATGTGTCACGGTTCTTGCTATTAGAATCATCTGCAGATTCCGATACCTATCGCAACGGCGGAGGCGCCAATCAGATCGAGGGTGCCCACGACGGCGAACGCAACGCTAACAATAACGATTACGCGGATCACGATGATATTGATGAGTCTTGTACTGCCAATTCATACGAGACGTCTTGTGTAACGGCGTGGAGACCGAGTTTCGACCCGGAGGATACGGTGAAAGAAGAAATAACTCTCACAGGCGGAGAGGAAGAAGACGAGGATGGAGAAGGAGAGGTGAACAGCTACATAAGATATAGGAGAAGTCAACGTGAAAATATGACCGTTGATTCTAGTGCGGTGGTGAGTGAGATGGATAAAAGTCAAGTGTTCTGGGAAGCTTGTCTAGCTTCCTGATATGTCTTTCTTGTTTCACGGAGAGGGAAACCGAACAACGTCTTCTTGTCTACCTAATTAGGTTTAATACATGTCTAGCTATTTTTTGTTTGTTTGAATTTTTGCTTGTAAAGGTGTCTAAGAATCACATCTACCCATCAATTATGTCCATAGATTTCCTCATCAAGTAACAAAAAGTATCAACATGATCAATCTGATCAAGTTCTCTTGGTAATACAATAAATCTATGTTTTCACATTTATCCAGTTACAAACCCTTTAACATCTAACTGAACGCCAAGAAACGAAAAAATTAGACATATATACCAGAGGGGGACTGTATTAAATTTGAAAAAGGAGAAACAAGTAGGCAGTATTTGTTTGTTGTTGTAACAAGTAGGCAGTATAATACTAGTGTACAAGTGGTTTCTATGCTTTACTAAATTACTTATGCTAATCTCGCTCACCCAATAATTTGTTAGTTTCAGTTGAAAACCAATTTTAAAATTTTAAATTAACATCGATTCTCTAAATAAAACAAAACATAAAGATCCCATAGCTAACAAAGCTAAAGAGCAAGAACAAATAAAAGAAAAAAATTGGTGGGTTTACTATGTATATGTGAGCTTCATCTTTATATCTTTGTTGACCGATAAAGTTTATATATATATATATATATATATATTTGATTTGATAGTTTTATTTGCTTTTAAATTACTGGTGTATCATATATTTATATTGAACTCACCAACAAGATTATTTATAGTCTAGTGATCACTTTTCCACACATGGAAGTTCGGTCTACGAAGCTTATATGTTCTTTTGATGCTAGTCGAATCTAATTGTTACACTATATACAATGATTTGTCTTTTAAACACCTTATTTTTACCTTTTAATCTCGAGTCCGTTTCAACGAGGGTCGCTCGAAATTTAATATTTTAAGAATGGATCGGCTCAAGTTTTTATTTGCAAATTACATCCCATATATAATATTTGCAAAGTGATTTGCCACATATTTTTTTTACAAAAATGATGACATGACTATTAAAATTGATGACTTGACTAATAAAATTAATGACATGACTTATAGTTAAATATGACATAAATAATTACGTTTATTGCTGATATATATTTTTGATAAACTTTATAAAATATGATAATAGTTGATACATTTAGTATTGATTTATATTTTTTTGTAAACTTCCTAAAATATGATAATAACTCATAATTCAAATCACCAAAAAATATAAATATATTAAAATATGCATTATAAATTTTGAAATGTTATTTAGTTTTATTTTTATAATTATATAATTTTTGTTACTAATATTTTCAAAATTTTCTACATCTTTTTAAAAAATTGATAAATTTTTAATCGTAATATCATTAGTTTCTGTTAGATATCGACAAATTTTATAAATATTGTTTAGTTATAATTTTTAATAACTATACAATTTTTATATGAATTCTCTTAGTAGTTTTATACAAGTAGATTTAATACATTTCACCAAAATAAATAGATAAAAAAATTCTAAGATTTGAATTTTAAATATACTACATATATATATATATATATTATTAAATATAATTTTAAATAAACTTTTTTTTTAATTTTGTGCTTAACTAAATCAAATGTATATTAAATATTAAGTAAAATAATAAAATATATAATATTAATAAATATCATTTTAGATATAATTTAACTTCTAAAATTTTTATCATTGCATATTGTGTAGGAAAACAATTAGTATATACTTATATGAAAGAAAAAATATACAGTGATTGTTTTGGACTTTTGACTCATAAACTCTAAGCCATATGACTTACCGTTTTCGACTCGCAAAAAACTATCCAAAAACTTACCACCCCAGATATTAGAGTTTTGCCACACGTGCGAGTGAATGTGCTGTATTGTAATTCATTCATATTTTCTTTTTCAGAATGTGGTGGGACCATGACCATATGTGTAGAGAAAGTAAAACATAATGGTAATGAAATAAGTATAGAGATATATAAGCACAAATTTAATTTATATTAAATGCTGTAAAAATACCTCTGACGGAGCAGGCGACGACATTAGCGATGGTGAGATCTGTCTCAGGTGTGCCCTTCTCTGCTTAAGATCTATTCACTCATCGGTGATAGATCGTTAGGGGAGACCACTGGTACAGCTTCTCATCAGTGTAACGCAGGTTTTCATGGCTGGGGAGTGATCCTTGTTGCTCCCTTCTTCACCACGCTATCTGTTTTTTTTCATCCTTGAAGGCCTGCTCCTCTGTTTATCGCGAGATACAGAGATCATAGCGGAGTTTTCATCTCGGCAGTCACTGACAAATCTCAGTCCTAGCGTTCTTTGACGTGGGACCATATCTGGTTTTATCGACGAGTTTCCGACATCGACATAGGATTCTTTGATCCTTTACTTTCTTCACAAGCGAACGTTGAAATTGGATTCTTTGATCCCGACACTGGTCTTCCTGTTCCTCTGGTTCTGTTTGCTCTGTTTTTTCGTATTAAAAACAGAGTGCTCTTAAAAACAGAGTGTTTTCTCCCGGCTTGTTATTATAGCGAGCATGTGTTCGTTTGGAAATTCAGGAGATGGGAAAGGAAAGGGGCTCTTGGGCATTGAAGAGGAAGCGCCTTTCCAATTAATTGATGATGAGGATACACATGTGCTTCAAGAGTTTAAGCTTTCCTTGATAGGGAAGATACTAAATCCGAGGAAACAAAAGGTTCAAAATTTAATAAACTATATGCCGACTCAGTGGGGAATGCAAGATCGTATTACTGCGAACGATTTGGATAACGAAAAGTTCTTGTTGAATTTTACTTCAGAAGAAGATCTTACTGCAGTTCTACGACAAGACCCTTTCCATTATAATTTCTGCATGTTCGTGTTAGTGAGGTGGGAACCTATTGTACACGATGATTACCCATGGATTATTCCATTCTGGGTTACCATTACTGGAGTGCCTTTGCACCTGTGGACAACAAAGAATTTGGAAGGTTTTGGACGCACTTTGGGCCGCGTAGATACGCTGGAGCTTGAGGAGAGCCGGATGCTTATAGATATAGACACGCGTAAGCCTCTTAAATTCACAAGAATGGCAACAAATTCAGAGGGAGATGCAGTTACAATTAAGATCGCATATGATATGCTCTTTAAGCATTGTACAACTTGTGGTTTCTTGACCCATGAAAAGGATCATTGTCCTTTGAAACCACCACAAAGCTCAGTTTTTGATTGAGTGGAGCATAAACAGGAGGGGGCTCAGATACTGTCAGGGCGCCGCGAGATTAAACCAAGGCTTAATACTTCTACTTCGAACACTGTGGTTCTCAACCATCAGCAGGAAAATGCTCCCAATAATGCAACCGAGTTACAGTTGAATCGTCATACTACTGATGTCCATCAACGAACAGATGGGGTCTCCAAAGGCAGTGGTGTTGGTCTCTCACACCATGGCAAAACTGATAGGGTGGCACGAAGAACAAATGAGCGAGCTAGCAACAGATATGTTCATTCACCCTATGATCGCCATGATAATCATCGTTGGAAGAAGCCTTCTGTTTCAAATGCATGGAACACTGCAAGGGATGGATCAATGGAGGATCAGAGGGTCTCTGGGAGAGCTGAGCGAAAGCGTGAAGGGGAAAGCATCAAGTTGGAGAGGTACTGGAAACCGCAGGAGTCCTACTTTGGCTATTAGGAGAGATAGGAGGGAATGGCGTGAGAAGAGCATGAGTACACATAATCTGGGCTCTGCTCGGAAGTCAATCATTGATCAGCATGTTACTTCTGCTGAGCAACAATATGATAGAAGGAACAGTCTCCGGGATAAGCTTGCGACGGAGGAAAACCACGTTGCTCGCGTAAGACATAACGAGGAGTCACGGAGTCACACTCGGGAGAGGGATTCACGAGGTCAGGTTGGTGCTGCACGGTCTGAGACTGATGATGCTTCGCCTAAACGCGTTGGACACTACGATGAAAATCTCGAGACGGTGGTACCTGCCAGGACCAGAGGTTTACGCGGAGAAGGCTTACACAGGGAATCTCGTGGTGGTCCTTATGACAAGGTGAAAGCACGGGATAAGAGTGCTTTGGAGAGTATTGTGGAGAGCCACCATGTTGAGTCCCCAGCGGTATTGGTGAATCCACAGAAGAAACGGCTTGCCAGTAAGATCACATCTCCAAACATGCAGGATAATGTGACAGTTCGTCCTAGAAGTGTGATGCGTTCCTTGACGTTTCATATTGTTTCAGCTGAACCTAAGGATGAGGATGCCCGAGTCATTGACGCTTTATCTGAGATGGGACCTTTATCACATGAGGATGAAGATGGAATGGAGACGGACGATGATCTGTTTGATGACGAACTCTTGGAGTTAGAGGCATCAGTACCACAACCTTCCTCACGCCAAAATGAGACGGGTGGTACCTCAAGAAGCTCGAAGGGAGTAAAGAATGGGAACATGCGTACACCTAGGAAGAAAGAGGTCCTTCGTCGGGGATCTCCACGTCTACGAGGTCTAAGCTCTACTTCTCAGAAGTACACTGGTGGAAAGGCTAAACCAAAACACCATAGCCATAATGCTAGGGAGGGTCGGTCTAAGACAACTAAAACAAGTGGTTCAGTGGGATCCAAAAACCCACTCCATTTGTATCCATGAGGACACTCAGTTGGAACTGTCGAGGGATTGGGACTGACCTCACAGTTCGACGCCTTACGGAGATGTGTCAGAAGCATCGCCCAGGACTAGTGTTCCTTTCTGAAACTAAGAACAGGAGGCTGCTGTTGCAAGACATTCAGGCCGACTTAGGATATGACCGTTTGTTTACCGTTGAGCCACGTGGTCTCAGCGGTGGTTTAGCTTTATTTTTTTATGGATGATTTTCAAGTTAAGATTTTATTTTCTAATAACATAATGATTGACATTGAGGCAGTCAATGATGGAATAAAAGTCTATATGACATTTGTTTATGGGGATCCTGTAGTAGAACATAGAGAATTAGTATGGGAACGTCTTACGCGTTTCTCAACAACACGAAATGGACCTTGGTTTATGATTGGTGATTTTAATGAAATTCCTTGTCATGAAGAAAAGGAAGGCGGTAGACAACGTACGGATAATTCTTTTTTGCCTTTCAAGCAGATACTCAGTGATTGTGGTATGCTGGAGTTTCCGTTCACAGGAAACATGTTTTCATGGGTAGGAAGAAGAGCAGGAAATACTATTGTAAGATGTCGTCT